AGGATCCTTCGTTAGGGTCATTACCTACTTCTATGTTCATCAAGAATTTGGGCACTAGATATAAAAATTGTTTTTTTACTCTAGAAAGCAGACTACGACAGCTTGATATAAAGTTATTTGTGATAACTATTGGTCGAGCAACGGCACTTTAGGCTCGATGCACGCGTAGTCACACAACGTATGCTTTAGTTCAATTTACCCACCCTACTAATTCTTAGTTTCGCTGTATTTAGGTTTATTGGAGGTACTCGCATATTAACTCCTGTAATGGTTAAACGTAAATTAAAATGGTCTTGTAAATTTAATGGATCACGAGAATATAAGCATCGCAATGTTGTTTAACTTACAAAACGAATGGTACAAACTAAAAGATTTAGAATTATTTCCCGAAGAACAACTCATGTCACCCTCTCAGTCTATTTTTGCACGTTATACACATGCTATCAGGGAACGAGTGTGTTCAAGACCTGCGCAACGTGTAATTTATGTCGCGACAACTATTTTCAGTGGGAAATCGGGCTTCTTTCAGTGAAACGAAACTGCATCGCGCTCCGTTTATTCCTACTTGACGTTATATTAAAAGAAGCTAGGCGCTAAAATTTAGGAAGGTGTTTCCGAAATACAGTAGTAAAGCATGGCTATGAGATCGCAAGATGACAACCACAAAAATGAAACATCTTGCGCTCGTTCGGGTGGATATTTCGGACAAGGTAGCCTACGTAGTATATGTAAGGACAGCCTAACGAACAAACTTAGCAAGCAGTAGCTTTCAAGCGATAGCCCATACACGGCAGACTATCAATTAGCCTACAGGCAAACTAACGCATCGAGCTAGACAATCAATCGATAATTTGATTTTCAAGCTATATTCACTCACTGGGCCAACTGCCAATCCAATCGGCGACTATGACAAGAGAGGACCTGATTGGCTTGATGGACATCGTATTACACGGTTTGTTGTCCTAAATACGTTGTATTTCTTACACTAAAACGACTTCTGCCCTTGCACACTTCTTGTCGTGTTCTTCTTTGGGGACTCACACAAGGCGTTACTGTGCAGTGATATCTCGGCCTGGGCTTCCGTTACAACAGTAGAAGCCCGGATAACGAGATTCCTTCTCTGTGGTTGCGGACTTGGGGCAAAAACCGCAAATCAATAAATGTTTATTAGCACCCATTTTGATAGTTGCGCTTCGCAAACGCTATTAGCATCGATAACCGCCAACGCCACATAAAATTAACATTAAGGAACCCATTCGCTTCGCTGCTGCAGCTAATTCACATAATTATTCCCCTAGGTTAGTCGACACTTTGGGGAAGTGAGCAAAACATGTTTAAATGCGATGCAGTTAATTCCTGCATGAGGGGATGCCGAATTCGGTTAAGAGGAATTTCAGCTGCCTCATATTCCCCGGTTGTCTTGACATATTTTTTGTGCTCTTTCACATTTGACTTTTATTCGGTTGTGCCCGGGCACCCAGAAACGGGTTTCTGGGTTTTGTTTTGCAGTCATGAGAGAGGCCATGACCATGACTTCGCTGTGTATTTTCTACGACTTTTTTCGGGTTAAAACGTGTTCAGATACCTGCAGAGAAGACTTAAGTATTGAGAACACTCAACAATGATATTTTTTAATGATCCGAGTAAAAGTTTTCGACGTGACGTCACAGTACTGTGACGTGACTATATCACCATAGCTAGGTTTTTACATTACCAACTCAACAAAGCTTTTCCTACTGCGAATACAATTCCCTTAGAAAGTAAAAGCACGGACGCCCACACTGTTGACACAACTTACAGTTTTATGTATTTAATTGAGTCGATCACCCGATCCTCCGATCGGGTGTACCCGGATACATCTGTGGTCAGACAGTCTGCGATTCTTCTCCGCATATTGTGAATTGTTGTAAATCCCTCTCTGAGTTTGGCATTGTCACTAATTTTCGAACTAAATTTATTCTTAGTGTAGCCGTCAAGGAGATGGAAAATTTCAGTTTGATCAAACTGCTTTGGCGGAATAGTGAATGGTTCAGTGTTTATGAATTCCATCGACGAAACTGTCGTAAGGTTACTCATATAAGGACAATGGCGATTTGTTATGAAGTTTGAGAGAAATCAGAGCGATCCGCTAAATAGCAGACAAGCAAGCGCTGCCAGAAACCAAAAAGCTCTATGCACAACTGCCAAAACCAAATGCAGAAACCAAGGCCATTCGTTTACATCAATTAAAAAAAAATAATAAAAACATAAACAATGAAGAAAAGGGGATCATAAATACGTCGCAGTCTCTATGTAAACAATAGTCAAAAACCATCATTAACTTTTACGTGTGAGTAGTCAGCATGGCAGGTCATTTAAATTCACCTACGCCAACTCACAGAGTCTACTGTTCAAGTTAGGTGAACTGAAAGTGCAGATATATGACCTTTCTCCCGACAAAATCTCTTTGACAGAAACCTTGCTGTCTGAAAACGTGGATGACCGCGAAGTGGAACTACCTGGTTTTAATCTGTTCCGGAGAGATAGGAGAGGGAGCCAAGGAGGAGGAATTATAACTTACGTCAAGCATGGACTGCTAGTCTCGGAAAAAAACAGAACGGTTTCATTGCAGTATCGAGGCCATTTGGCTCGTTTTAAAGGTACCGCAATCACCCAACCTGGAAGTGCTGACCGTGTACCGTCCACCTAGACGTGATCTTGAGGCTGACACTGGTCTACTAGAGGAGTTAGCAAGATTAACTGCTCGGCCTGACGTCTTGATTATGGGAGACTTCAATGCTCCATTCATCGATTGGAGTTCAACATTCGCACGAGGTCTAGTGCAGGCATTCGATTGGCGTTTCCTACGAGTTCGCCGACCCAGCTCTCAGATTCCCATGGTTTACAGCCTGAGTGGCACCCAACTGCAAAAAGAGGACGCGCAGAAAGATTTGGGAGTGTGGATCTCTACACCTCTCAAGAACAAGTCAAACTCATTCTCGCACGACGTTTCAGGATCAAGGATAACAGTTGCGAAGTTTTTTTTTCAACCGC